GGTCTTGAAGACTCTCTATTTCTTCCACGCTCATGCTGTTAACTTCACAAACAGAAGCCGTATCAAAAAGGACATCTCTTTGCTGGACAGGAACAGGGTTAATCCAGGGGAGCACAACACTCACCACTTTTGTGGCTCTCATCACTTGCCTTCTAACAGGGTCAATGGCCAGTAATTATTTCTGGAATGAATTTATGCCTCCACGCCTCTGCATCACCCATTAGGCTCTCATTTGTCCAGTGGAGAATTTGATATATATCCTCAGAGGGCACATCCGATGGGTGCAGACACTTGACAAAGCCACAGGATGCGCGCTTACCCACCCCGGCTGGTTCAAACCCCTCACACGCCGGCAAACACCCCAATGTACAAAAAGGGACGGTGTGGCTTCCCAAGGTTGCATGAGTGTTAAACTCTAATAAACAAGCCGCGTCAGAGAAAGCTGAAAGAATCTGAGCCCTCCCCAACAAAACATTTAATCCAGTTTGGCGTAACCTTTGACATTATTAGGGATCGCAGTGACCCTAATCCAATCAGATTGATTAACTAAAGCGGAGACCCCATAAGCTGACCCCCCTCTGGCCTCTGCTATTTAGTCCTGACCAAACAGTGGGAGAGACGTGCCGTATTTACACCACAATGGGTCTGTGCTGAGAACCTGTTTCATTACAGAGCGACTTAAACTCCCATTACTCCATCAATGTATCATTCTTCAATAGTTCATTAAAAGCTGCTCCTCCACAATAACTATTAACCATTTCTCAGTCCAGCTGGCAGGTTTAAAGCCCCGGCCAGTCTTTAGCAGAAGGAGGTGGGAGTGAGTGAAAGAAATAGATAGACAAGGGCTCCCTTTTTAAATTTAAACGAACTGGGGGCTTAAATAGTTGGAGGTAATTTACTTTTGTTGAATGGGGGGAGGAGAGGGAGGAAACTTTTATTTTGACTTAATTATGTGCTGAGGTCCTTTAAAGAGACAGGGCCATGATCAGCTTTTATTGTATTACTTCTCTTGAGATTGGTTCATATTACTGCCCAGATGAGTTTCAAAGAGAACTCGCACAGCGTTGAGAGATTATAAGATGCACCACAACTTAAACACGAACAGCGTCTTCATCCACTACAGCTAAAAGCAGGGCAAAAGACACAATTCCCAATATATTGAACTAAAGTTTGAGATGTCAAACACCTGTTAGGTTGCACCATTGATTTTCTTTTGTCAGTGGTGACATATCCCTCTTGTTATATCCTCCATGGTTTTGTTTTCTGTATTTTTAAAGGTAACTCAAAAATATCCCTTATCCTTGGGAAACTGAAAGATGCAGCAACTGCTTTAAAATGGGCTGTGGCTAAGGTGAACGCTTAATGTCCTGTGTCTATGGCACTGCTTCACACCACTATGATCCACTGCTTCACACAGTACAGGCGAAGAAACATGAGAACATTTCTTTTTCCTCTAGAAATAACTCTGAAAAGTTCAAGTGAGAGGTCCTTTCAGCTGTCCAATAGTTGAGATTTGAACTTCTGGGAAACTAGAAATTGTATGAACTGTAGCCTCTTCTCTGGAGAAAAGAAGGCTGTCTGCAGAGCACATAGCAGCCTTCCAGTATCTGAAGAGGGCCTATACAGATGCTGGAAAGCGACTCTTCATTAGGGACTGTAGTGATAGGACAAAGGGTAACGGGTTAAAACTTAAACAGGGGAAGTTTAGATTGGATATAAGGAAGAAGTTCTTTACTGTGAGGGTGGTGAGGCACTGGAATGGGTTGGCCAAGGAAGTTGTGAACGCTCCATCCCTGGCAGTGTTCCCAGGTTGGACAGAGCCTTGGGTGAGATGGTTTAGTGTGAGGTGTCCCTGCCCATGACAGGGGGGTTGGAACTAAGTGATCTTAAAGTCCTTTCCAACCCTAACTATTCTATGATTCTGTGATTCTATATATGACTGACAACCAGATAGGTAGGTTTAGGTAGAGGGAAAGAGAGCAGGTTCACTTCTTTTCTATATAGGCATTCTTCTTTGCTTTCCCAATAGTCTAAGTTACTGAGACACCTATTTCCCAGTGCTTTGCAAGAAAGACCCAACAGTGTCGCCTATCTGAATGTTTCTCCGTGGAGCTGCACAGCTGCTCATATGTTCCCCGAGACCACAGAGGAGGAGAAAACCCCTTTTCCAAAAGCCCTGTAGCAGTTTCACCTCCTGCTAATGCCTGAATCATTCCCCATCATAGTAAAGAAAGTGACTGTTCCCTTTGAATGGGGAATGTTTATTCCTCAGCCAAGGACCTGCAAAACAGAGTAATCAAATTGCTGGATTGGATGGGGGATTTCTCTTCTTCCTATGTTCTCAGTGATATATGAAGAACTAGAGGGACATAGGGCCAAACCTGTCAAGTATTGCCTCCAAGTAGCAGGAGATCTGGATCACCATTCCCTTGTTGTTGAGCTCATGAATACCATTACTGTTAATATGATTAATTAGGCCTGGCTATGGAAATGCAAAAAAGATACATATATAAATAGACTTGTAGCAAAACCGTGTGGGATTTCTCTGCATAAACAGGCTGATGGGAAAAAAAGAGTCCAATTTTAAAACGAGATATCAGAACATGGCTCTTAACAGGACCGAAGTCTGGTGACAGTTTGGCACTGCTGAATCACAGCTCAAGCCTAGCCCTGAATTAGCAATGAGATACCAAGGCAGCAAGGGCAGCCCAGACAGTGGGGCAGCCTCAGTGAGATTTGGGCCTAGAAAGTATTTCCTGAAGGCATTAAAATCAGTCCTTGCAATGAAAGAATTGCAGATAGTTGTGTAAAGCACAGGGGAGTTGCTTTAGTGTCTACACTGGTTTGTGCTGGGGGAGGACAGGGTCCCTATTGACTCAGAGGAGAAGCTGCAGTTAAGTCACTTGGGTGAGATAAAATCCAAGCTGGAAAATAGAGTTTTGCTTTCTTGTTTCCTTTCCTTCCTTTTCTCCTTCTCTCATTCTGGGTAGGAGCTCAAATATGCTCCTACCCTGGGGGATCTGCTGCACAAGAATGTGACTGAACTGTTTTTTTTTCATCCCCCTCCTGCTGTAGGTGAAGCAAAACTGAAGGGTGGTTTGATTCTCCCTCAAGGAACAACATTCTTCAGTTATGAAATCGTCCCAGCCTTCTTTCCCTCCCTGAGCCTGGCTACAGAAAACTGCAGTCTCAAGCATGGACAGACCTTTCATGTCGACACCATTGTGAGATAAAAGCATTGGGCAGCTTGCTGGACTGGGGTTCCTTCAGTGGGCAAGGAGGTGAGGATTGCTTTCCTCATGCACAGAAGATGTCAAGTGTGTAAACCAAGACCATCTGGGAGCATGAGGTGCTCCTTGAGGACATCCAGCCTTGTGACGAGGCAAAGACATTGGGTTATCTGTTACACTTACTCCCTGTGCCTAGTCAACGATCTTGTGCAAGTCATGCTGGGCTTATGTGAATGGGGAAAATATCAGTTTGTCTCTGCTGGCTAATTCAACTGCTCTACTCACCCAGGGGTGATGCATCCAGAATGGTTGTTTTAATTGTATGCAAAACATTGTGGTATGATACTTTGAGATGGGCATAAGTGCACCACACTAGAAGCTCTTACAGGCATAATTATTTTGGGATGACCTCTCACCACTAAACCTGAATAGTAACACCAGCATTAATATAGTGCCTCAGCTCCACAGCTCTAACGGGGCTGAAAATGAGCTGAAACCACCCCTTCTCCTGCTGGGTGCATGCGAAACACCTCTTATTGTTGGTGGGAGCCCTGCCATGATACAAATCAAGGCTCTGATCTCTCTTGGTTGCCCTATTTTTCAAAATTCATGCACGACAAAGTGCCCAAATCTCTTCTGAGTAATGCAGCAGGGGAACAACAAAGAAAACCCTTATCTCCAGATGGCAAGTACTGGAAGAACATGCCCTAAGGTGGGTGAGGTCAGCTGCATACACTAACTCAGGAGATTCCCTGAAGCTATCCCAGATCGTGGAATCATATCATAGAATCATAGAATGGCTTAGGTTGGAAGCGACGTTGAAGATCATCTAGGAGTCTAGGAGGAACCTTCAGATAGAGAAAGAGAAAGAAAGAGAGAGAAAGAGAGAAAGAAAGAGAGAAAGAGAGAAAGGCAGGCAGGCAGACAGGCTGCACTTCAAAAGGCATACTATAAGGGCAAATTAAAATAAAACACTTCTTATGGGCTAAAATAGGTTCCTGCCAACTTATAGAGAGAAAGACAAGATACTCAAACTTAGCCAGGGTATATCAATGGGCGCTATGTCAGAATTAGTTGTCTGGATCATCACTCTGTCTTAATTTGCCATTTTCATGACTAGTGAAAGAAGAACCATTAATTGATGGTGATTTCCTCAGGCCTTTGACCTTCACTGTATCCCATTATGTTATCAAAACTGATGTTATCTGATAAGTCCAGCTCCTAGGAACTATCCCCAACAGCCGACCATTTCCCCTCCATAATCATGGAGAGAGCTGAAAATGCAGCATGAAATGCCATGGGGTCAGCCAAAAGGAGCTTGACCACTGAAAACACAATAAACCTTTGTGTTCCTTCCAAGGGGCATAGGATCATAGGATAATTCTGTTGAAAGGGACCCTGGGATGTCTCTAGTCCAACCTCCTGCTCCAAACAGGGTCAGAGATGACACCACTCTCTGTGCAGTGCCAAATGGGGCACTTCCCAGTTCTCTGGGTTACCTATACAACCCCAGTAGGACTGAGGTAGAAATAGTGGTTACCTATGACTGGATGTTTCCTGTACAATGGATTTGGCGGGTACACCCTTGTTGCATTTGGGAGCCACAGATATACTTTCTGTCCCTGTTAGAAAGTTAGAAAGTCCTGTCTCCTGCAGCCCATTTTACATGATACTATGAGAAGCAATTGTGTTCACAGTAGGTTTCTCAAGATCTCTGCTGCTACTCTGTCATGGATGTTGCTGTCACCAAACCAATAGCACTGCACTCACCTTTATCTAGCACGGGCCCAAAGATGGCTAAGCTGTCATTGACAGTTGTGCAGTTCCACCTCCTCCCTCGAAATTGATGTTGGCATTCCTGGATCCCAATCTTTACACCTTCTGCTACACTGGGCATGATCTCCACATAGTTCCGACAGAAGCGCAGCTGCTTGGGTACAAGTCCTGGGATGCTCCCGCAGAGGATGGGCTGAGTCCCTAGGGAGGAATACTGGTGACCAATTGCCAAGGACCTGAAAAAAAAACAAGGAAGAAGAGATGCTGTCAGGCTGGCTTTCACTTTTGTACTTGGTTCACAAGAATGGGTACAGAAAATCAGCATCTTCAGTTCCTCTGCATTCCCTGCTCCAGAAAACATCCTTTCCACTATCATCCATCCCCAAAAAAACTTCATCTCACTCCTGAAGTTCCCTACAGGCCCAACAAAGCAAGAAACTCTACCTTTAATATCTTCCTTCCCTTTTCTTCATTCTCTTAATGCCTTAATTCATCATTGTGCTTCTGCCCAAAAATGCTCAGTTCATACAGCTCAGCTCATTCCTTTGCAACCAGAGGGTCAAATCCATATTTCTTTTTTTTGAAAGCCAAGCACACCTTTACATGAGCAGGTAGGCTTTACAGAAAATTTGGTAGCTGAGGAAGCCTGGGGATTAGACAGTCAAAAGTGCTTTCAGAGCTACGCAAAGTAGTAACACTAGCAGTAGAAGACACCATGCTTCAAGTCTTTGGAAGGGAACACCACAAATTGACCAACCATCATAGAATTCAGCAGTGTGCTCTATATATTTGAACCTTACCTGGTAACTTCTGTGCACTGAAACTGGCCCTAAAGACTCAAGCAATTTGGACCTTGAGAATTTAAAAAACCCAGCTCTGAGCTACATGCCGTAGGAGTGCCATGTAAACTCACTACCATAAGCAGTAAAATTTCCGGTGCTATAGAGGAAAGACGATGAAAATGTAGCCCTGATAGATTAGAAGCTACTTGGGTAAAACCTCTCCTATGGATCTGATATCAATGCTATTCTCATGTGTAAGGAACGGTATTCATGTTACTAGAAACATTCATGCATAAGTGCATGCAAGTTGGGAGCCATGCCGGGCATTTTGGTAACATCCTGGAAGTACAGTCTAGAAAAGATTTTCTGCTGTTTAGCAAAGCATTTCCACACCTGCTTAATCCAAGCATGTGCTTTGCAAAGCTTAATACTGGGGCTTTCTGATCAGGTTGAATTGTAGGGCTGTATTTTCACAAAGTAATGCCAGCTTTGCTGTACTGTCACAAGGACATGGAGAGCCTGCTTTCACCATCAATCTGTAAATTGCTTTGGTTAAAATGAGAAAAGTGAAATAAAAACAAACAAACAAACAAAAAACCCAAAATACAATACAAACAAACACCAAAATAAAACACCCTAACAAAACTTCAGCGCAAATTCTGTGCTCAGACAAATGGAAGTCTGCTGAAAGAAGTGTCCACGAACCATTACGTTGGTTGAAGCCTTAAAGACAAACAAGTCAGCTGTGCAGAGATCAGAAGATATGTGGCTAATTAGATAGTTTTTTAAAAGTGTTTTTACTGGTGCTTCTAATAATAACCTTGATTACTAAAACTAAAGGGATTTTTAAAGTATAATTTCCTTTTCTTCAAATTAAATCTCTAGATTGACTTTTCTACTCAGAGTTAATGACAAACAGAAACCTGCCTGGGCAGTGTGTATTTCTGTTTACATTAATTTTTGCTGTGTGGTTTTCATCTGGGACCAGCCTGGTGTATTTGAATTATCAACAGGGCAGTCAAGGAATTGATTTGTCATCTTTTTCTGTAACCAAAAAGAAGTATAAGAATTCTAACATTGATGGAGTTAAGAAGAAATTAGCTTGACTTTAGCACTTCTGCAGACTATGATAAAAAATGGTTTAAGATGTCTGTCCTTTTTATGGGAGAAGAGTCCTTGCAACTAGTTAGCTCCCTTCCTGGTGGGTACGTGGTCAAGAGGCTACAGAAGTGAAAAGGAAATGAACATTCAGATGATCTGGTACCACATCTCAGTGGTTTTGCTAACTGTGCATGGAATAGGCTTTACATGTGAGTCCTTTCCAGGCAAGTAGGACACACAGGCATCCATTTCTGGATCCCAAATAATTCTAGGTAGAAGTCTAGAACCAAGATAATCAGCTCAGCCAAGAATGTGCCCTCCAGTAAATTGGCTTTAGGTGGACAAGATAGGAGGTGCCTGGGAAAACAAAGGATATTCAGCTGATTTCCGAAACTTAGACACCTTTTTTCACGTCAGCTGCACTTCAGGGAGAAGAATAACTTCAGTTAACATTAGAGGGCAATTTATCTTACCCCAGGGAGGGAAGATGGAACAAATAACATCACCTCAGCCTCCAGAAGTGGCCTCTTTCCACTCCATTAAAACAGGGAGGAAGGCAGCTCACACTGACCAGGAACTGTGTTCATGCCAGTTGCCTTCTGATGTCTGCAACATGGACATCTCCAGCTGATCTACTCATCCCAGTCTGCTTTTGCAATGTCAGTGGAGAGAAACAGGCACTTGCAGGGCACGATTCATCTGCCCATTTTAGATGTCTGTTTTGGAATGAAGTGAATCATGGCCTTGCCTCCATTGACTGTATTGGCTAGACTATCACGACAGCTTGGGTGCCCGGATGAGTGGGATATGTCTGCATTGTAAAAGTCTCCCGATGAATCATGCCATGATACCTAGCAATTGGGATGGCTAAGTTCTTTGGAAAAGTCCCACCCAGGAAAGCTAAGTGCTGTGTGGAAGCCCATGCAAATAGCTCAGCTGGAAGAAGGAGGCAAGTTCCTGCAGGAACCTGCAGGAACTCACAGGAGAAGACCAAGGGAAGGACCCAGTTAAATTGTTTTTCTTATCTATCTAAATAGCTTGATGTGGGTTTTTCTTGAGCTTTAGATTAATTTAGGAAGCAACTAGTGGCAGAAAAGCACCTGTGAAATGAAGCCCATGCCAAGCCAAAGGGTGTTTTCATTTTTACTGCACTGTGTGCATTTTCGTTTCATTGCTGTTACACAGAGAACACTAGATCACAGTTTCTGGACTAAAGACACCTTCTAAAACACTGCTTCAGGCTTCAGAGAGTTTGTTGAGAGTGTTGCCTCTGTGGCCTTGTTGGGAATGTGGAGTCTCAGGGTGCCACATCTCCAAATCTTAACCCATTCAAACCTCTGAGCACTGGGAGTTAGTAAGTATTCACAAATGCCAACTTTAGGCTCAGGAGGTAGACGGTTCTATCTCTGTAGACAGTGGTGAGAGATAGATGCCTTCATCGAAGCCTCCAGAGCAAAACACTAGCTTAGTTGCTCTGACTCATCCTTCAGAAAGTAGTTCAGCCACTGACGGGGAGTTCAAGCTGTGGACATTGCCCAGTCTCTAAAGCTAACTTTGTTGGAAACATCTATATAGATTGTTCCGACATCAACTAGAATCACCAGCATTCTTTCCAACACTTTCAAAATGCCCTATCCAGTTCCCACCAAAGATAAAGTATCCATTGAGATAGAAACAACCCACTGTAGGCTCCATCCACCATGTTGTGAAGACAGGAGGACTCTCTTAAGCTATTTCAATGGGACTTGGATGAAGTTTTAGGATTCCCGTCTCATAAACTTAGTTACGTAATCAGCCAAAGTCATGCCTGTCTCTATATTTTTTGGTGGTTACTGCAGTGGTAGAGTGAAAATACCAGTCATAGGAAGAAGAGTTTATAGGTTGGTGCCCTCAGCCATTTGTTTCCGTTGCTGGGAAGATCATTGAAGATAAAAAAAAATAAAAACATGTAGAAATACTTTTAATTGCATTTCACACTGTTCTCAATACAGTAGGGAAACAGTCACACCTTGCTTTGATCTGTGTTACAGTCTGGAAAGTTTTTAATCTGCAAAAGACAATCTCCAGCAAGAGTCTTGTTCTCAAGGTGTCAACAGGCACTGAGACAGTGTAATGCAAATTTGGCGTTTAATGGAGGAGTGTGTAGTCACTTGACTTTCAGCTGATGATACAGGGTGGAATCTCAAAACATCTCTCCATGACCAGTGCCTCTGCTGTTAAACATAGCTAAGCAAAGTCCTTTTCCTAGCTCACTTGAAGACCCTAGAGTGTGATAATATCTATCAGAGCACCTTCTTTTGGTCTCTACTTTGCTTCCAGCTTCCAAGTGTAAACACTTTCTCCCTTTCTCTAAAGCAAATTTGTCTTTAGGGGAACAAGTTCTTTCAGCTTCCTGCCATTTTTATTGATCATGAGATATAAGCTTTATGAACCTTCCAACTATACCTCCCCCCCAAGAGGCAACAGCTCAACAAACAAAACCTTTAGGAAAGATTGTGAAAATCTATAAAGATCAGAATCTCATTTCAGTGTTACTCAGCTCCCTAGCAGCTCCCATCATTCATTTTTCTCACTGATTCCAATAGTTAAATCTGTCTTTTGCATTTTTCCACTCTCCTGCAATCTGCTTCTAAACTCTCTCCTGTATGGGGGCAATATTGAAAATGTGGTGTTGAGAAATGGCCCAACCATCACATATTGTGGTCTGACCAGACATCATCTTCAAATTTTTTAAGCACCAATATTTCCTGGATGCATTACACTAACCTCTTCTTTTCTACTGGATAATTCATGAAACACTCAAGTTTACAAACACACCCCCGGAACAGGCACTGCTCAAGTTTGATTCAAGGGAAAAGGTCAAAGAATTGCTCTTCTTAAACCAATTAGCCTTTTCTTCCCATTAGCTCAGAAGGAGCCATGAAAACATTCTGTATGTCCACAGCCAAAGTTCTTGGCTTATCTTTAAGCCTTGCATGCCCTGAAGTGTTTAATTCAACCTTCAGTGAGCATTTTTCTTTGCCAACACACCTAGAGAGCTCTTCATTTCCCTTATCTCAATCTATCTGCTCCTTCAGCAGAGCTATTGTATATAAGTACCTGGCCACCTTCTTAATAAATTACATGTACCCTCCCTCTTGGAATGGACAACCCAGCCAGTTTATGAGGAAGAAAAATGAAGGAAATTTATGCTCATAGCTTTTTCAGAAATAGAGAAGGCTTCAGTTCTGGATGACCCTATAGCACTCTACTGACTTTTCAAGGTCACTACCTTCTCATTATGGCTGTCAAAAGTCCTTGACACATCAGTAGCAGCATGTAGAGACACATATACCTACTTGCTTCTTCCTGAA